GGGGGGGGGGGGGGGGGGGGGGGGGGTACTCATAGTCGTGCATGCGGTAGTCGTTAGACCATTGACCTCGCATACCGGCTCCTGCAGTCCCGCACAGGCGCTTTTATTGCCTTTTTTAGGCGTTAGAGATTTCCTGTTTGGGGGGGGCGGTAAAACGAAAATGAACGTGGCGGCGGTTTTTCGACGGTATCGCCCCATATATAATATCTAGTCTAGGGTAGGTGGTGTATTTTTTCCGTTTTTCGGTGGAAATGAATTCGGCGGAGGGAGGTGATCAAACCAAGAAACGGCGGGCGGGCGGTACGGAAGGTACCGCCGCCCACCGGGGCTGTGTGGCGAAAACATATCCAGTAGACATTGCCCTTAAAAAACATGAAAATTTCTGTAGAATCGATCGGGGAATCATCGGCAATCTATGCGTCGACCCGTCACCCCTTGGGTAAAGCGGTCACATAGGGTGCTTTTCGTGTTGCCTACCAGTATGAACGAACATGATGGATGGTTTGAAATTGCTGCGGCAGGCGTCCCATGCAGAACGTATAGGATGGATGGGTGGAAACACTTTTTTTTCGCCTCACAAGCACGATTTTTTCCGACCATGTGTACGACTCAAGAGTGGAGGGCCAAGCACACAGCCAACCAACGATTGCTTGATTGATTGTTGGTTGGCGTACGAATTGCTACACACTACATGCCTTCGCTTTTTCTACGAATCAAATGTATTCGATCGATTGTGATCGACTCATCATCACGAGTGACAGCCGTGGTTATCATCAATGGTCTGGTGAGCTCCGCGGCAGCCACATTCAGTCATATGGTTGTTTGTCTTGATTATGAATTTGGCGTTGCTTGCAATGTCAGCTGCTATAGGTCGGTCTCTGTCTACTATGGAGAGGAAAAAGGGACTGGCTTTCTCTCGAAATGCCTGCTGCGTGAAAGCCGCTGCGGTGGTCATAATATTAAGAAGAGTCAAAATGAAATGGGAGTGAATGATGGCGACAGCAGCAGCAGAGCGGTCGGTTGGACTGAAATAAAGTACCATATATGCACGTGCTGGTATGTATACGATACTACTTGGTGTGCATTCGAGGCGAGAGGCAACCACGACGCCAAACAAAAAACCTCTTCTATGTTGTATGTAGCTAAGTATTCCGTATGTACTTGCATGTATGATATGTATGATGTTGTACTGCAACGCCGGAAACAATAATCCAGAGGGACATCAGACGGGGCGGTACTCGCTGAACATCGGCCCGCTCACCCCCTGGGGTAGACCACATAGGATGCCATGGACACGATGTGCGCGGAGTCATGTGCCTATACACTACGAACGTGTCATGACGGGATTGAATTTGCTGCAGTCGTGCCCCATGTACAGGCGTACAGGCAGTAGCAGCATCACGCGTGTAGCCATTTGGCGGCACCATAAAATGCACCCTGCGACCAGGGTCACCTTGTCATGACCATGATGAGCGCACACCCTGCAAGGCGAAAGACCTCCTCCCCCACTGGTGGAGATGGGGGCAACTATATTTTTTGGCGGATGCCATTGGCTCACAAGTGACAGAGCAGTTCAGGGTGTTTAGTGTTGTTCACGTGTTGACGTATTGACGTGTTAACGAACGAAGCCGGAGACACAGACGCCAGCACGCCAACACGCCAGCATCCACCACCTGCCCGCGTGATAAGAGAGCAGCAGGGAAGGAGCATCCATGAAAGCCAATAGCAAGGAAAGCGACGAAGCAGAGAGAGGGCCAGAATGCCATGGCACGCTTCCTCTTTCGCGTAATCCAGATTGCCTACCCGGCCAAGCCAAGCTGAACACCGCAACGATCGACAGAGTGCACACAGCACAGAGCAGCGGCAGAAGAGGGTTGGGAGGAGAGCGAGCCTAGAGTGACGGCTAGGATGGCGAGGTGCACCTCCACTGGGACTGACGTGTGGCTTCTCTGTGGAAGTCTCGTTCAAATTCTCTGAACACCTCCAAGTAAGTGCCAACGGCATTTTTCTCCTCAAACATGCCGAAGGGCGGCTACACAGGCTCATGCATTCTTGCATCTCTATCAGTCTCACATGTTCACACGTGACTGTGTTCGATGAACTCTACGCGTGGATGTGAAAGCTCGAGCTTTGCTACTCCTCTTTCGATGCCGTCTGAATTTCACCAGGGACCACTGTTTCGTACGCTAGTCTAGGCATCCATTCTGCTTTGAGTGTGTAGTGTGTCGGGGAGTCAGAAGAGTGCGAAACATGATTCTGACAACAGGAAGGAACGTGCACTGAGAGAAAGGTCCCTGCAACCCGTACAACAGCAATAAATTCTTCGTTTGCCTCTAGTTGAAACTTGCCTGTACTGGCACTTCTGTAACAACAGGTGTCTCATGTTTTTAGCCACATACGCCACTATTTCACTCAGGCTTATTCGACCTTGACAACACCACCTGCTCTCCCGCACGACTTGGACCGATGCAGCTTTAGCCTTCCCAACACAACATTCCTCAACTCCTCGAGAAAACAACAGTGACTCCATGGGAAAACCTGTGACTTAAATATGTTGCGATTCATTCCCGGTTGTGAGACGGAGTAGCTCAAACCGCTCCGTGAATAGTCTAGACTAACCGCTGGTACAGATTTTTCGGAATCCCCACGGACCGGAGCAGCATGTCCGAGGACAAAATTCTCACGGAGTGAAGCATCGGAGCGTGTTTTTTGTTCATGTCACGGAGCGGAGCGGTTCTTCCTAACGGGAAAACCTCACTGCGTTCCGCTCCGTGGAAGAGACACGCTCCGTGAACAACGCTACAATAAAATTTTTTGTAGGGAATCGCAGGCTCACTCTCTTCCCCCGGGCGTATGCATATGTTTGGTGTGGTCTGGCCCAGCGTTGAAGTGTGGTATTTCCATCTTGTCTGGCTCAAGTGTATTTATTCGGGTCGGTGCTGTCGTAGACGCCGAAACGATAACTGTTTTCTCACACCTCCACCTCGATCCATGTCAGTCTATGGAAATTACTTCAGGGTGACCCGTAACAGAGACTGTAACCTCTTTGGATGATGTACAGTGTGTGTGCCACACCTTACATCCAAAATTATTTGTCCGCTGCTGCGGGCTTCGTGTGCCTTGAGACCCCCACCTCAACTCTATTTGGTATATTGGTCTCAAGTAGACCATTGTTAGCCTGTTGCAGTGTTCTTTGCCTACAATAGATGTCGGGTGGTTTTAGAGCTTGGGTGCCTACCCTCGCACTCGCAGGTCTTGAATATTGCAACATGCGCAGACGGAGTTGACAGTTGACATCATCTGCCTTCAGAACGTGAAATCCTGAGCTCCGTTTGTTGAGCTAGACTGTATCTTCGTTAATGTTCATCGTCGAGACGACTGCGTCATGCTTTGAAGAGTGAGGCCACCTTGTGCGCGTGTACGGCAGGCAAATCTGCCTGGATTATTCATGGTTTTATCCTGCTACCGCGTCGGGCGTCAACATCGGGTATCGCTCACAAGGCGCCAGCGCACCCCCTTCGGGAAGAAGCGATGATGATTTCCTCGACGGTCATCTTCTCGTACCAGCTATGGCAGACACAGCGAGAACGAAGGTGATGAAAGGCTTGCTGGATGTCACACGCTGGTTTGCCCACATGTCAATGAAGTATGAAATTTCTGCTGGACTATCCGATATCCTCCGGAGGTGTGAGGCGTGGGTTTGAACTCTCCCCCACTGTCCCACAAACTCGGATTGGTTCCGCAGTGTGCTCCCCCGGCAAGGCCCTAGAATATTCAGCGTATTCGCAACTCATGCACTTCACCTTTGACGGGGGAAATGTTTTTCGCATTCAACATCAAGACACGTGGTATCCTCGTAAGCCGCAATTCGCAAAGGTCTTGAGTTCGAATCCCCATGGGGTGAAACATGTACACAAGGTGCGGTTGGAAGCGAAGCAGCTGAAAGAGCTCTCGTGAGTATCAAACTTCGAGATTAGCACCGTTGACGAGGGAAAGGGGCGGCTGGACCCTTCTCGCGATAAAAAGAAAATTCAGCACGCACCGCAGGAGGAAGGAGCACGAAAATAAATAAAAAGAAGAAAAAAGCCCTGGTCTTTTGCCCTCTCCTGTGCGGCCCTGGATAGTTGTAGTGGCGCGAAAAATGGCACTGAAAAGTGCAATACTCTACGCTGAAGAGTGAATGTAGTGCACGTCTCACCACGAGAACTGGGGGGATTGTCGCCATAATGAATCGGACGAAAGCACACGCCACCCGAAGGCATGCGAACAAATGAACTTCCATGGAAGTTATGGGAGTGTTGTAGGGGCGCGTGGGCTACCAAAGAAAGTGTCGTTCACTTCAGCTGCTACTCCTTCTGCTCTGCATGTATCTGCACGCACGTATCGTACGCTGATCAGCACTTGTTAGCCAGGTGGACTAAAGGGGCCAAGCTAGAACGGTATGGGTAGCATGTAGATACATGGTGCCATTGACCACGCAACATGTCTGAATTCACCACACTAGCCCTCAACGTGACCTATCTGCCATTTTCTCGCCGCGTCCAGATTAGAACCCACAACAACGTGTTAAAGGGTTACGTAGGCTACAGCCGAAATGACGATCATGAACATGAGCAAAGCATTATCAACACACAAAATATACAACTTCCAGGTTGACAATATTTTTTCGCGGGTTAATTTTTGTGGTTCCGGCGGTAGCCTAAGCACTAACAGCAACACGCTTACTTCCGTCGCGACGCAACATGCCGCAAAGCAACACCTCAAATGCGAAGACAAAACACCTTGACGCCAGAACTAACGCCGCTCTAAGCCCTTCGCTAGGCCCCGCGCGAGACTAGTTTCCTTGTGCACGCTGAAAACCTCATCAAACCCACGCCTGCATACTTGTCACCCTCAATGCCTCTGTCAGAGGGAAATCCCCCCTTGAACCGTTCGCCAAGATGTACTGAAAACAATCTCCACGACATACACCTCATCGATCTGCGTTCTGCAGCCTCATCAAAGCAGCTTTCGTGTGTTGCACCGCAGCTGCGTTGTGCGGCGCCCACAACTTTTCAACCCCCTCAACCTCGACGGCACCACCACGGCCACCCTCACCAACCCCAGCGCAGGATGAGACTCCACCACGATCTTGCCATTGCCCGGGTGGACTCATTCTACCACCTTCCGACGCCTCGAAAGGAGTTCCTTCGGTATGCGAAGAGGCTTCAGGTGCTACCGGCGGCCTACGCCCGCCACCGCGACGGACAAATACGAATCCGGCCGCCATCTCCTCGATGCCCTCCCCCCTTAGGTGCCGCTCCCACCCCTCCGCCTCGCGAGGGCTGCCGGCCCTCCTCTCGGCGTACTCTCTCGCTGTCCACGGCTGCCGCTCGTGGAGCACCGTGCCCACCCACCCCCTCGACGCGCCAGAGTCGACGCCGTCGCTGCCGGTTCCGTGCTTGTTGCCGTCGACGTCGCCACGTCGTTGCTCAGGGGGCCTGCTGCCGCTGCTGCTGCTGCTGTGATGGTTGCTGTGGCGGCTGCTGTGGCGGCTGCTCGTTTCCGTTTTACATTCTTGTGATTCGGCATGAGGCCGGACAGACATCTGGATGGCGTTTTCATTGCCCCCGACGCCGTCGGTCTCTCTTCTCCCCTCACGGCCCACGCCACCTGCCGCCCCTTTCCCTCTCGCTGTCCTGTCAATCGATTCCTGAACAACACCGCACTGGTCGCTTCTTGTAGCGTTTCTCCCCTCCTCGCCCCCAATCCAGCACCGAAGCTTGGCGTCGAACGTTCTAGGATTCGCCAGCTCGGAAACCATCGCCAGGAGCCCGCTCCCGGGCCGGAGGCGGTCGAAGGCCCCGCGGAATATCCCCTCGATCACCTTCTCGCCGTTGCTGCCGCCGGAGGCGAACACGTCGTACCGCCGTCGTGCCGAGGCGAGCCTTGGGGGCACCGGCACGAACGGGGGGTTGGCAAGTATGAGGTCGTACAGGGAAGAGGAGGAGGAGGAGGCGGGAGTCCTTGTCGTCGGAGTGGCGCCACTAGTGCCGGCGCCGGGGCTGGGTTGATGCCCGCCCCTTTCATTTCCGGTGAGGTCATTGTCACCGTCAGCGTCGGGGAGACCGCCCGCCCTATCCGCGGAAAAACGATCACCTACCGTTGAGTCGAGGGCGCCGTAGAGGTCTCCAACGACCGCGCGGAAGCGTCCCCCTTCCTCTTCCCCGCCGCCGGTATTCAGGCCGTTCAGCAGCGCGTTGAAACGCGAGAATCTGACCGCCCTCGGGTTGATGTCCACGCAGGTAACGGACGCCTCTCCGCCTCGCAGTACGGCCGCTGCGATCCCCTGCACCCCCGACCCGCTGCACAGGTCTAGTATCTCTTCGGGCGCCCGATACCGCCGCCGCCGATCCCCGCTTTCTCCGCCCGCGCACTGGCTGTCCAAGTCTTTCCCGCTCCCTCCTTCGCTCCCTGCCTGAGGCGGAACCACCGTCGCTCTTTCTGGCATCTCGACTTGCCCGCGGCGACTCTTCGGAGGCACGTGCTGCACGAGGCCGATGCTGTCGGGCCCGATGTACATCACCTGTCACCATGCAATTTTTTCAACACGACATCATGGGTGGGAAAACATTCCGCATGGCCTTAAAAAAAACGACGAAAAAAAGATCTTGCGAAACTTTCGCGCCTACATGATAAAGCACATTTGCCCCTCTCCATCAAAACACTCTGCGTCGCTGATAATAGACCCCCACTTGCGCTTTTCGATGTCATGAACAAACGCGATACATCGGAAAATCAGATGCCGCAGTTCGATTCAACCTTCGTCAATTTTACGCACTCCACCAGCGCTGCCTTCGCAATATTCCCAAAGTCAGGCTCTCTATACGGTCGTCCGCCGCGCGTTACAAATAGGGCAGAGGCGTACCGGCTCCTCCGTCAGGGCCGTGCTCCCGGGGGGAGGCCAATCCGTCGCAAATACCATGTCGGAAGCGGCTACCACTCCCCAGTTGGCAGCATGCGAGGTCGTCGCGGTTTCAGCGGGAACTGGGCCATCTATCTCTCCATCCACCTCCGACGAATAGGTCCCTCCGGGCCGGTGAGCTTGCTGCTGATAAAGGGAGGGCGACCGCAACCCCGTTTGGGCACCGCCGCAAGTTCGACTGCCATCTCTGTCAATTCGGCCACCACTTGCAGTGTCAGTACCCTCACTTCTTTTCTTGGTGTCTTTGCTCCCCACACCGCCACAACCACCACTCCCACTACATGCACTACTACTTTGAGAATAGCTACTCCAACTACTGCTACCGTTATCAGGTTCTAGGCTTTTCCCCGGGAAGCTTGGGTCGCCATCAACAGAAGGCGATGTTCGTATCGGGCATGTTGGTGCTGTTACCCCTGGTGGTGGTGGTGCTGCTGCTGCTGTTGTCGGAGGTAGAAGCGCCTCTCCGTCCAGCGGGAAGAGCTGCACAAGCGACACCATCAGCAGCGGATCCACGGGACACTCGCCCACCATGCCTAACCGGTCTACGGCTGCCAGGAAATCGAGGCCGAGGGCTCCCTCCACATGCGCCCGAGGCAGCGCGACCCCCAAGAGAAAAAGGCGGATGGCCACGTCGAGGGCATCCTTGGCTGGGCCCATGGATGCAACGACGGCCGCCTGGGGTGTAGAAGGATACGTGGGAAGAAAACGAAGTTACGGGGGGGGGGGCTGAGAAGTCAATGAAAACAGGTAATCAAGGAGGTTTGGCGCGGATTGGATCAACGCTGTCGCCGTGCCTACAGGTACTGGTTTTCGCGCCGCCGCATGGCATCGGTGTGCTAACAATGAACACAGTGTTGGTCACGAAACGGCCTTCGCAAGAATATCTGTCAAGTAAAAAGAAAGAAAAACAACGACGTGTCAAAGCTTGGCGCTCACATGGTTGTGGTCGAGGTTTTTCAGCAGGTAGTATGGTCCCGGCAGGCGCCGTGCATCGCTTATGCCAAACCTCCGCTGTATGGTGCGGGCATTGTAGCCTATCCTTGCAAGGGTAGAGCGGAGGCGCCGAACATCTTCACGGTTTCCCGTGCGGCTGATCCCAGGGCCGTTCTTGGGAGGACTTCCTGTTGGCGTCGCCTGTACGTACTCGCAGGAAAACCCTTGGAAGACATCATCGATGCCGGACTCTACTGCGAATCTGGTGTCCGTCTCCTTCGGGCACATCATTGTTGGGGAGGAAGGAGGGAGTAGGTTTCATTGGTTGAATTGGGCGGGTACCCTCGGGAATGTCACGGGTGTTCATGGCGCGCACACCGCTCCCTACGCGCTTCGACTTGAGACTTGACAATGGTTTTCATGCGAATTCGAAGAAAATGATGGGAAACCCGACTAAGTATCAAGGCGTTACCGGGAGGAGATAACATCAGAGCAGATCGGCCCGCCCAAATGAAGGACAACAAGTTTTAGGAACACGTATCAGTGGTGGATCCTATATTTTACTGTCCTGTAGATTAGAGCATTTCTCTAAACGGTTTGGAAGAAAAACAGCTGCTGCCCCTCCACCCATACTAGGAAGTTTCTGGCTGCTGGCCCCGACTTGCGCGAAAAGCACGCTCTTGCGACATCCCTGTCGAGATGTCAGCAATGACAAGACGATCAGCAAACCGTCGAATTCAAAAAATCAAATTTGTCAGCAGCGGGGCGAGCAAGCACCGAGAAATCCACATCGTTGCAAAACAAGGAGAACGAGCCCACGAGCACGCAAACTAGAGTGCTACGATAGTCTCCGATACGGCAGTGTGTGTGCGTGCGTTGGGCAGTGTTTGCCACCGCCGTGGACTACATCCCTAGCGTTCATACTGCTTGCTATCTACTCCTGTACAAGTTGCACCACAGAGCTCACGCCCCAACCTTCCAGGCCGGCCGAAGCCGCAACGTTTCCCGAAAAATCTTCAGGGCGATCCGCCTCGACGCTCTCGAGCGATGTCGGCGGAGGTGTAAGGACCCAGCTATGGCGAACATCCTCTCCGCCCTGTCCTCGATGGCAGGTTGGGTTCCGGATGATGTTGAGGATTCCCGCTGTGCCTCGAGCAAGGCGGCCGGGCTGTTGTTGGTGCCTGCTGGCGAAGGTTGTTGTCGCTGTTGCTGTTGGCAAGAAAGCATCCATGCTCGCCCGTGTTTGCTTGGAGTGCCACCGAGACCGTACCGCCTGGTTGGGTGAAGCGGGTGAGGACAAGATCGCATGAGCAGGCCATCGTGCCGAGGAAGGCCGGATGATAACGGCGGTGTTACCATCATGAGCGGGGTTTGACCAATTCCGGCATGGTTGAAGGCGTCGTGTTCGCCCACGAGACCAGGGCAAGGAACGCCACCTACGACTTTGGCTAACGCCCAAGACGATACTTGCATTCCCGCCGAACGAACCCTCGCTCTATCTCTATCTCTCCCTCTTTCTCTGTGCTCCGCACAGCGAACTACTCGTCTTTGGGCTGACTCGTCGAGGCCTTCCTGCAGAGCTCCTCTGGTGTTTTCGCTGGCATGATGGGTTTACAATTGGCCGCGTTGGCGTTCTGGGTGTGAACCCCCGAAAGCTGAAGAGAGCTGACGACCCAGCGAAGTAATCTGATAGAGAGGGAGACGAGCAGGACAAGATCATCGGAACCATGAGAGCCTGGCGCTCGTGCGCAGTGTCCATGCTAGCCTCGGCGTCGTACTCGGCCCGGGCTTTCGTCCCTTCCGCGAGCTTCCGCGGTACTCCGCTTCTTTCGCGCAGCATGCTGCGGCGTCCCGTTCACCCGAGCAGCTCATGTGACGGCAACGGCGGCGTTGTTCCGGCACATCGGCGTGGGGTGTGGATCGTTCAGAGGCGCGGTGAGGGGCCGGCAGGAGTATGGCAGCAGGGAGGCCGTGTGCGGCTGCTGACGAGGATGTCTAGCAGCAGCAGCGCGGTGCAGGAGCCTGAAGGAGCCGGGGATCAGCAGCAGCAGTGGAGTGTGACGAAGGTCTGCTGACTCTCTTTTTCTTCTCACATGCACGACAAAGCAGTGTAGTGCGTGGCGCCTGCCATTGGCATCACCGCCGCCACCATCGGCACGTGTGCTGCCCTAAAAGTTGGGTGACCAGCGAGGTGTGGGCTGTATTGTAGCTTGCTGCTCGGTCGCAATCTGTGGTATATCCGCTCTTGACCCGCTTCAGGACTTTTGGCAGCAATAGGAGACGGCGATAGGCTCCTGCGCGTGGTTTGTTGTAAGGAAGGATCAAATCAATAGAGGCAGCAGTGTCTCGTGATGGTGTGAAAGCAGAGGCAGCGCAAACGTTCTTGATCAAGCTGCAATTTTAACTCCTGTCCTCTCTCGGTGTTCGATCGTGACGTTGCAGTTGTAGAGTTTCCACGAGCATGGCGGGTACCACTGCTGTGTAGCTTTAGCCTGATGATAGCAGACGTGGTAGCAGGTGCGAAGACCAACAGGTCTGCAGCAGTTGCAACTTGATGTGAACGTTGGCAGTACACGGCACCTTCAAGACGCGCGTGACCACCAGCAATGGTAGAGAACTTTAGTATAGTCCCCACAATCTGTAACAGACCTTCAATCGCGTGCTTCGCGTTTGTTAATCAAGGTTTCAAGTGCTGTACGTCCAAGACACTCTACAACACCGAAAGGTTGCCCCCGCGGGACAATCTTGCTGCTGTTCCCTTGACAGGCTGTTCTCTTGGGATGTTTTCAACCCCGAGGGCCCTGGTAGGCATCATGACCCCTCCCCGAATTTGTAAGCACACTATCTATATAGAGTTTGGTCCTTGAAATCCCCCGTGCCTCGGTTCGCGACGGTCGTCCCTCACGCCGAAAACTCGGCACGCCAGGTTCGGCAGACGTTCATCGACCATTTCAAGTCCAAGCGGGAGCACACCTTTTACCCGTCTTCGCCGGTGGTGCCCGTGAATGACCCGTCTCTTCTCTTCGCCAACGCCGGGATGAACCAGGTCCGTTTTTACACCAATGCGGCTTCTGTTTCAGAGAGTGTCGGCACAAGCCGAAAAACTTGTCTTTTGCATCTGGTTTTGCTCTTTTCACCCTATTCTTCTATGAAGTATTTTTTATCAGGTGTTATTTGCGTAACCCGCATGACCGGGGTAAGTCGCTTTTGGATTTCTTAGGTCAGTACGTCTCTGGAATTCGCTCTTATTACCCGTGGCCGCTGCTGTACAACAGTCATACACGGGGTGCTTCTTTCAAGCCGCTACATGCCGATCAATGGCAGCAAGCGTGACTACCCCCCCCTCCCCCGCACACTTTACCCGCCTCCCTCTGCTTCGCCAAACCCGTTGACCAGTTCAAGCCGGTGTTCTTGGGGCAGACCGACCCGTCGAGCCCGCTCGCCGGGCTCAAGAGGGCGGTCAACAGCCAGAAGTGCATCCGCGCGGGCGGCAAGCACAACGACCTGGATGACGTGGGCAGGGACGTTTACCACCACACGTTCTTCGAGATGCTGGGTACCTGGTGAGAGAGGAGAGAGACACCATGGGGCTCGGCGTTCCCGTCCTCCTCTACCTCTTTATGCCTCCCCCGTCCGTTAGTTGCGTGTCCTTTTGTAGCCATGCAGAGGGTCGCCGTAGTTGGAAGACTTGGGGGCGTCTCGCTCGCGACGATCGTGAGCGCACATGCCTCGTGTGTCGTGTCTTTTTTGCCAACTCGTCTTCTCTGCCCGGTTTGACGGGCGACAGCAGCTTGCGCGAGGAGGAAGGGGCCGTGACGAGGGGGCCCGATGCCCTGGCAGGGGTTTTGTTGGCGTTGTTTTATCAGCGTAGTCCACGCGCAAATAGACTGCCAACCTTCCCTACAAAACATGGGTTAAGGCGGTTTCTTACAACGATCGGAAATGCAGTTCAAAAATGTGCATTTCCAAATTCGGACCAGAAACTGATTCTTTCAAGATCAAAAATGAATTTTCCGCCTGAACATTTTCGATTTCACATTTCCAACAGGTCATGCATTTGGAAATGATGACAATTTTCGATCGGATGGCGCGTTTGGTTCTTGCGTTTGGAACTGCACACCACACGGACACAACCATCGATTGCGCAGCAAGTACCGGTCGTAGCGAGCCCACCAAGGGCTCCGAGAAACCTTCGGAGCACTGTGCTTCCATCCCAGCCGTTTATTTATGGTTGCCGTGTGACCAGTTGCGCTCAAAGCAACATGTTGGCCGGCTGGCACAACCACCGCTCGCTCAAACCCTCAAAGAGACGCGGCATCATCCCAACACACACACACACATCGATTGACGAGGTGTTCATTTTCTTGCTCGCTAGATCACCCCTGATGCTGAAACTTGAGATAATGTGAGCTCCATCAGCTGCTCTCTGTCGGACGGGCTGTGTCATCGCGGTCGGTTCGGTCAATGGAGAGGGATAGCTACAGCGCCACCGGTGACACGGCGAGAAACCTGCACAGCAGTGAGCGGCATGGTGATGATGATGTCATTTTTCGAACAACTGCTAGTCGATCCTCGCCACCCTCGCTGCTCAGCCTCCCAGCCCATCATGGTCTCTAAAAACCACATCACAAGAAGCACCATAGACACCGCTACGGGCGGATGGCCTTGTGGTATCTGCTGGTTCGGTTCTGTGAAGAGGGGTCGCCACGAAACCAAAGCTGTGATGGAGCAAAAATCTGTCGAAAGCTGTTTGTTCGAGCGGGTGGTCTTTTCGAACAGCGGTTGCCCCTCTCGCCAACTTAGATTCTCAACCACCCAGCGCCTCACGGTCTGTAGCAACCACCCCACATGAGGCACCATACGCACAGCTACCTTCGGATGACTGAGCTTTTGCTGTTGTGTCGCTCAGTGTACAGAGATTCCCGAAAAACTACACCGACCGGATGATAAGGTGTTACGGGAGTAGCAAATGGAAAAACACAAACGTCCGCATTTCTATGACCAGCTTTGCAGTACAAAACTGACTGCACTATAAGAAGCGTCTTGACCGACAAAAGGTTCTTTTTTCCGAATGGGAAATAACACATTTTTGAACAAAAATTCGGAACCTTATAAGAAACCGCCTAAACCATCTTTGCCTTTTTTTTTCCCCGCCGTGTTCGTGTGTGTGGGGGGGGTCGGGTCGGGTGACGACTGTGTTTTCGCGCAAAACAGGAGCTTCGGCGACTACTTCAAGGAGGAAGCCGTGGAGTGGGGGTTCGAGGCCCTGAACGAGGTCTTCGGCCTCCCGGCCGACCGCCTGTACGCCACCTACTTCGGCGGCGACGAAGAGCTCGGCCTGGCCCCGGACCTGGAGACGAGAGACCTCTGGCTCAAGGTCTTGCCCGAGGACAGGGTGATGCCCGGCGACCGCAAGGATAACTTTTGGGAGGTGGGGCGCGTGGGCTTCGTGTGAATGTTGTCGGTAGCAGAGGCCACGCGTACCCAAGAGGACGGAGCATTGTTCCCACAGGACCGGGCCACGGTTGGCCAAAATCGTTCCCTACTACTTTTCCGAAAGTCGCTCAATGTTGTGGGAGGTGGAACGGGAGTCGGTGGTTGTTTGCGGGGGGATTTTGCATGGCGCACAGGAGGTGGTGTTAGGAAGAGCGCGAGCAAATGGGGATGTCAAGGGGGGGTTGTATTTATCGTTCAGTGAGGGAGTGAGCGTTATGAGGGATTGCGGAGATGGGATAAAAGGCACGGGATGGCGAGAAGGCACGGGCGGGATGACGTCGGTAGAAAGAGTGCGAATTGACGGGTCTTGGCGAACAGATTACTTCCGCATTGGGCCTTCAGTTCCTTGCGGTGATCACTCAAACGCCATTGGAATCTCGACCTGCCCACAAACGCCCGCAAAAGAGCATCGGCTGCACGAGGTATTTGCGACGTGAGGTATTTGTCTGCGGTAGTCTTGTGCGTAACTCGATTTGCCGCACTCGTCCACAACTCCTGCGCAGATGGGCGATGTCGGGCCCTGCGGCCCGTGCTCCGAGCTCCACTTCGATCGGATCGGGGGCCGGAACGCGGCCAGCCTCGTGAACATGGACGACCCGGACGTGATCGAGATCTGGAACCTTGTCTTCATGCAGGCGAGTCGAGCGATCTCGCGGCATCTTCACCGCTGCAACAGCGGTTGTGTGTGTTTGAGTCGTTCGTGCGGACCTAGCCTCCACGGCCGACTCTGATTCCGAGTCACTCTCGCACCCCTGTGGTGCAGTATTTCCCAACAACTCCAACCGCTGCTTGTTCCAAGAAACTGCTGTGACCCCGACGCTAGGTCAAGCCTTCGTTGTTGTGTTTAAGAGCCCATCGAGGTTGATTGGTACAAAGAACGCTTTGCCCCCGTTCTGTGATAATGCCTCGTTGCGTCTCGCCGCTCTGTATGCTTGCACATGATCGCCTTGATTCATCGAGCAGACATTACGAGCAGTAATTTGCAGTTGAAGGATCGTTATCGTGATGCATGTGTCATATCATGCTCATGATGGAACACTCGT